GTTTGCACGAAACAACACTGCTATGGAGTTGTAACAAATTATAAAATGGAAAGAAATTTTTCAAAAGGGGATTCTTTGTTGCCTCTGATATGTGGCAGCTGAGAAGTCAGAGGTGGCTGTGTCTCCATGTTGTTCCTCAGCTGTTACTATTTGAATAAAAGGTACTTAATAAAATTGACAAGTTTTCAAAACATTGTGTTTTGCTAAAATCTTTCTGGAGATGGATGGTGGCAATGGTTGCACCAAAATGGGAATGTACTTAATGCACTGAACCGTACACTCAATATTGGTTTACATGGTAAATTTTATGTTGTGCAGGTTTCACCACAATTTAAACAAACAGAATAAAGTGCCCCTGAGCCCAGGTTGCAAAAAACAAAAGCATAGAGTTTGTGGTTTTGATTGTATGTGTGTGTATGTGTGTGTACATATATAGGACAAAAGGAAGAGAGGAAATGCTTTATATTTATTTAAAAACAGAGCTTTCTGGCTGTTTCTGGCTGTTGGAAATGTAAAATGGGAGCATTAGTGCACGTTTGAGACCTTAGGCATCTAATAAAAGCATCTAGTAAATAGAGACAATTGAGTCTGTGCTTTTTTTTTTTTTTTTGGTTTTGTTTTGTTTTGTTGTGATACACGTGTCTCACTTCTGGTCGCGGCCAGGGTTGGAGTTGCAGTGGTATGTATAACTCACTGTGACCTCAAACTCCATGCCAGCAATCCTCCCACCTCACGCTCCAAGTATGCTGGACTACAGCCAGGGCCACAACCATCCCAGATAATTCCGCCTGCTCGGCTCTCCCAAAGTGCTGGGCATTACAGGAATTGAGTCACCACACTGGCCTGGGTCTTTATAAAATACTACAAATTATTTTTTTATTAAAATAAGAAATTCCCAAATCCTGTGACTTGCCCTGTTCACAGGCACCTCCCGTCATTCCTCTCCAGTCTCTCTACCTGGTCCCAACCCATTCAAGCACCCCACGCCAGGAGGAAAAAATCCATTACAAAAGACAAAGATACCTTATGATATCTTCAAAGGTAACAAAATCCATTTAGTTTTCCACATGATAGAGAGGCATCAACAGAGCAGTAGTAAGAATGCCTGTGTTAAAAAGACCCTTGGGCAGGTTGCATGTGGCTCACCTATAATCCTAGCACTCTGGCAGGCCAAGGCGGGCAGATCATCAGGTCAAGGAGTGAGACCAGCCTGAAGCAGAGTGAGACCCTGTCTCTAACTAAAATAGAAAGAAATTAGCTGGACACTAATATTTATAAAAAATTAGCTGGCATAGTGGCACATGCTGTAGTTTCCAGCTACACGGGAGCTGAAGGCAGGAGGATCGCTTGTGCCTATTTAGGAGTTTGAGTTGCTGTGAGCTTGGCTGACAACATTGACTACTCTAGCCGGGGCAACAGAGTAAGATTCTCTCTCAAAAAAAGAAAAAGAAGAGAAGAGAGAGAAAGAGAAAGAAAGAAAAGCAAAGAAAAGAAGAAAAGAAAAAGACTCTTTGTGTAGACTGATAATAATAACACAATTTTGTTGAACAGGATTTAATGTGACACAAGGCATTTTCGATATTTCCTATTTTTCTCCAACAAGTTACAAGTAATAAACTGCGATTTGATCTCCATCTGCCGACTCCTGATGCTTGTCTCAGTTGGTGAGGCTGGGAAAGAGGTGTTCACGTCTTGGGCAATTTGCTGGGGCTTCTCCTGCATTATCATTCTCGGTCCAACAGCCGGCCAACGCTGTTACACCCCACTGTTGTAAGGAAGGAAAGTGGCTACAACAGGGATTATAGCATTTGCCCAGGATTGCACAGCTCATAAGAGGTAGATCTAGGCCAACGCGCGGTGGCGTCAGCTGTAATCCTAGCATTCTGGGAGGCTGACGCAGGCAGATTGCTCAAGGTCAGGAGTTCGAAACCCACCAGAGCAAAAGCAAGCCCGTCTGCTACTGTAATAGAAAAAGAAATTATCGCCAACTTATAATACGAAAATAGCCGGGCATGGTGGCGCCATGCTGTTCCAGCTAACTGGGAGGCTGAGGCGGAGGATCGCTTGCCAGGAGTTTTGAGGTTTGCTGTGAGCTAGGCTGATGCCACGGCACTCACTCTAGCCTGGGCAACAAAGTGAAACTCTGTCTCAAAAAAAATAAGTAAATAAAAAAAAAATAAAAGAGGTAGATCTAGGATTCAAATCAAGGTCTGCCTAATTACAGAGCCTGTGTGCTTGGTCATTGTGATATGTCACATGCTGATAGGGCCAGCTCTCTTTTTCATAATGTTCATTTTATAATGTATATTTTCAAATTATATTAATAAAAGAAATTCAAGGCTGGGCCTGGTGGCTCACACCTGTAATCCTAGCACTCTGGGAGGCCAAGGAGGGTGGATCGCTTAAGGTCAGGAGTTCAAAACCAGCCTGAGCAAGTGTGAGACACCGTCTCTACTAAAGATAGAAAGAAATTAATTGGCCAACTAAAAATATATAGAAAAAATTAGCCAGGCTCCCAGCTACTTGGGAGGCTGAGGCAGGAGGATCGCTTGAGCCCAGGAGTTTGAGGTTGCTGTGAGCTAGGCTAACACCATGGCACTCTAGCCTGGGCAACAGAGTGAGATCCTGTCTCAAAAAATAAATAAATAAATAAAAGAAATTCAGATCTTCCAGTCAAGACAACTGAGTGAGCATAAACTGAAACCAATCCCCCCACCACAAACATAGAAATAAGTGAAAGATAAAAGCCCTCAAAATGGAATGGGAACTTATAGCTATAGGGGCTGTCACTGGGAATTCGTGGAGAGCTAAGGCCAGATATGAGCTGGGAGCCAAGCATTTAAGTGTCTGCTTCAGAATGGGAGCCAAAATTCACCTTGCTCATGGTGATGGCAGACTTAACTGAGAACCCGGTATTGTAAAGCCAGGGCAGGAGAGCACGTTCCCTTCTCAAGAATAGGGAGTAAAATAGCTTGATTACATTTCTATCCAGCAAGACATCTCTTGCCTCTATCAGTAGACAGGTTCGGGGACACTTCCATGACTGGAAAATGACCTACACCCAGTATCCAGCATTTAATCTCTGCCCAGACCAGGAACATTAGACTATTACCCTAAGATCAAATTTAGAGCCAGAACGTGCAAGCAGGAAGCCACCCAACAGTGAAAAAGTAAATCCCCATGCAAAGAAGATCTCTCAGACCAAATGACCAAACACATGAGTCAATCCAGTGTTATGAAAAACAATGTAAATACCCAATGAATGAGATAACTTATGCTAGAAGAAATATAGCTAACATCTTGAAAGAATAACATATATATATATATATATATACATAAAAATATATATCTTAAAATCCTCAGAGAGAAAATAAGGAGTGGCATTCACAAAACAAAACTAGGAAACTATGAAATAAGAACAGGCAGCTATTGAAAAGAACAAACTGGACATACTAAAAGTTAAAAACAATCATTTAAGCACAATTCATAATTGCAAGGCTGTGGAAACAGCCCAAGTGCCCATCAATCAAAGAATGGATTAATAAAATGTGGTATATGTCCACCATGGAGTACTATTCAGCTCTAAGAAACAATGGTGATATAGCACACCTTATATTTTCCTGGTTAGAG